GCCTCTGCCCCCCTTTGCCAACCGCGCCTCTATCCTCACCCAGCCCCTCTGTCACTCAACCCACCGCCCGCTCTGCCATTGCCTGCCCCGCTCTGCCTGCCGCCCGTTTGCCTGACACCTGCTCTGCCCACCACCCCCTCAGCCCACTAGCCACGCCCCGCCACTAGCGCCGCCTCCCTTTGCTGGCCACCCGTCTCTGTCCGCTGCCCCGCCGCCTGCTGTGCCTTGCCGTTCCGCCCCGCCTGCCGCCCGGGTGGACAATATGACAAGAGGAATCATTTTCCCCGGTGCAAAATTGATTGAAATTAAAAGAACAGGCTGTTACTTGCTCGGGGCCGCTGCGGGTAGCAACGGCGGAGCGGCGTGGGTGAAGAGAGTGGCGAGATCGTGCAGCGGACGAGGCGGCGGCTGGAGGGAGTGCTTGTGGCGCAAGTCAGTCAAACGGAGAAGACGATCTCCAGCCGAAGAACGCACGGCTGGCGGACGACGACCAGCGGCTCTGGAACAACGTCGGGAGAGGAGTGACGAAAACTCCCGGAGGTCCACCCTCACTGCCCCCTCGCCTCCCGCTCTACTCGTCTGATTCATTAGCGCGCACCGCACGACCGCGCGCGTGATCTGCTACTCTCGCAATTAATTCAGCTTCGCGGCGTCTCCGTGCGGCTGCACGAAATTGAACACGAGTCCCACTCCAGATCCGACTTAATCTACTTCTGCATGATCCGCGGCTCACGACGCGCGGACGATCTCCCACCCCCCTCCCCCCTCCCTCCCCCCCCCTTTCGCCCACGCCCGCCGCGGCCGCCATCCTCCGCTCCCCTGTCTCCGTGCACCGGCGGTAATACTGGTGAATGAGATACAATCCTGCCGCAGATACACCGCGCTCACCGCAGGACAATCGAGACTCACGCGCATCAACGCCGCGATGCTCTACGTGCACCTAGCAGGCCCAGCGCGCACTCACGCCTGAGCGCGGCGCCGGACATAGACGTCATTACCGGCCGCTCCTTGAAATACTGCCGTTAATAAGCGCGCGCGGGCGGGACGGTTGCCCCCAGCCTCTCCGACTCCCCCCCCCTCACCGCTTTCCTCGCATGCGCAATGAAATGGCCGACGAAGTGCCTCGGTCGGAATGTGCTGTGCTTGAAGTCTACAAAGGAGTATTTGCCTGTCAGAATGGTTTTCTGACCAATGATGAATGGTACATGAGGATTGTACTTTTGTTTTGATATTTAATTTCATAGAATTGTATGCTCAGTTGCCATCGAGACGTTCAATTAAACCGTCACGTACAAAAAAAATATGTATTAAAAAGATTTTTCGAACAAATGACCATATTTCATCGAATTATTTATTGCTATTAATTACTTATAACGTATATTTATTTTTTCGTTGGATTGTCGGTATTTTATTGAAAAACTTACGGAAAAACACTGTTTTAATTAATAGACAGACTGCATAAAAAAGGTTTTCTAGGCCAAATCGCTTTCCACGCTCACTCAATGTGACGTCATTCCCCTGATGAACTTCAGACACAATTTGATTGTTTCTTTCTATGTAGCGAGTTTAAAAAGAAATTGAATAATAAATGGGAAGCTATCCGGCTTCATGTCCATTTTAAGTACAGTACTATCTGCAGAATCTTATATGAATTCTATACACACGGGGGCTGCATTTTCTCAAATCCACGATATATTTCTTCCATTTGTTTATTTAATTGATGAATACGATTGATGAATACAGTTAGGGAGCACGTTGTGGTGGCAAGCAAAAGTGCTCAATATCTCAAGCCCTTAGGCCAAATACGACCCCATCTTTACTTAGCATTTTTCGCTAAACCCTACGAAGCACACAGTAGCGCCAGAATAGATAGGATTAACCTTACAACAACGGCAAGTTCGAGTATGAGTTAAACACACTCAATTCCCGCCCGCTAGTTCATTCTGCCACTTACGCTGTACCGCCTGCCGGGCAAAACCCACAACGGGACGACTGCCGCCCCTCCTCCCGTCTTCTGGGCTCGCCTCCGCTGCCACCGTGGAAGCTCCGCATCGCTGCTTCTCCCGCCCCGCTCCCCTCGATCCCCCGCCCCGCTCCGCTCCTCCGACCGCCGGCCGCCTTCGAAATTCGCTCACGAGCTTCGTGATTCCGCTGGAATCATGTCGTCCACGTCTGGCTGTCCGCGGCCGCGCCGCGCCGCGCCGGTATGAGACGGTGGGAAAGGTCTAGCCTCGCGGGAACGAGATGCGATGGAAGATCACGCGTCGCTGGGGAAGCGGCGAGGAGGCGGCGGCGGCGGCGGCGGCGGCGGCGGCGCACGGCCGCGGCCGTTGCCACGCTTGCCGTCTGCGGAAGTTGCGATGTCGCAAAAATTGCCCCCGTAATGAGCGCCGTGCCAGAAAAGGGAACGGCGTTCTCGGATGAATTAGGTGACAGCAGTGTTCTTGAGAATGGGGGCACGGAGGGAGAAGGGAAGAGTGATGGGTTCGTTAGACTGCATGTCGCTATCCTTCGCAATTACGTAGCTTTAGGAGGAATGAAGACTCATAGTAGATCCTATATTATTTTGAGGGGCTGAAGTTTATTTAATGCTAAGTAAGTTATCTAGTACACACTCACGATTGCTGAATATCATATTCATACTTGTAGTTGTGGCAAGTGTGTTTGAGAACTTGTAGGTGTAAAATACAGTATTCATATACATTCTTGATTCTTGTAATTCCTACATTTTCGTATTTTTCATTCCTCGACAAGGAAATCAAACTACACTGCAGATGTTAGCTTGCTTGAGGAAATGTGTTCCAAAAAGTAGACTTATTTTTACCGAAATCAGAAACTTCTTCAATACCATTAAAATTAGTCAAATATTACGAAGTAAATAATATGGATAAATGTTACACTAAGTAACGTGATTTAACTACATATTTTACGTTTCACTATGCAGAAAGTTCTACATTATAATTAAAAATAGAACATTAGTGATTTTTTTATAATAATATTTTATTTTGCAATTTGTTTGAGTACAAACATTTGGCAAAAATGCGTACAATTTTTATTAGTGATTTATTGATAAATAAATTAAATTCTACTAGTATTGAAGCTCTGTCAGTGGAGAGCAGGATGCGACACGATGTTCGTGAAAGTACAAGGTACAAGCATCTACACTTCGCACAAATTCTGAGTAAATTGTTCGCATTACCGGAATTAATATTTAACCTATTCTTCCGGATTCACCGCAAAGGCTCTAAATATGTAATGCAGGGAAGCACACCGTCATAAAATTATGTCTCAGGACGTAATTTCATATTATAAAATATTCCTAAATATCCGTAAGAGAAAATTTCAGGAAATTGTCAATTTCTCAGCAGACGTATGGAGAAAATTAATAAAGAAAAAAAAATTGTTATATAAAATTCCTGGAAAAACACTTCCAAGATTGGTTACATGCAAATATAGATTGTCCGAAACAAGTGGATCACTTAAAGTAAGTCAATATAGTGAATCAATCCATTGAAGACGTTAAAAAATGTTTGGGTATTTTAACAGATGTGTGCTACAAATAGGTTTGAAAGCAAATATATGTTCTTTTTATGACTTGGCGAGGATATATTTTTGAAGTAGAGAGTTATATTTTGCCTAGAACACCGGGATTCCTTCAGTGTACCCTACGAATTGCTTGGAATGTGCTTCTCCTAAATCACTTTCGTCTCGGTTGAACGCCAGGGAAAGCAAACGGCTCTCAAAGGACGTCCAACGTTGCGCGGAAACGAAGCAGCCACAATGAAAATATAGGGGAATAGTTTTACGACACAATCCAACCGGTGCCGTAAAAGCCAGCCGAGCTTTTGTTGTTAATGAAGTCTCACACTCCTCTCATTATATCATGTCGTGTTATGGAAACGCGAAGCTAAATAGAGGTTCTGCTTATTCATAGCGCAAAACCACTTCTCGCGAAAAAGAATCCGAGAAATCTGTTTAATGTGACTGGGAGCAACTCATCAGTCTCAGGCGCGCGGCCGTGGAGACCAGGGACAAACAGTGGTCCAAAATTCAATTTCATGAGGGCAAATCGTGAGGACTCAACTCTGACGACTAATGCGATGCTACCAGGCAATGTAATACGGATATATTTCAATGAAATATCTACCACACATCTACAAGTTATAGCACTGTGTTGTGTCTACAGTTTGAAATACAATACTCTTTGCCTGTTCTTAACGGGTAAATATGAGTGTAATTTGTATTCTTTCATATTAATTCAAAGGGGCCGATAACCTCGTGTTGTCGTTACAACAAGATCTACACTAAGGGCATCGGTGATTTGTTTTTCAAAGAATTTCCTATTTATGCGACAGTATAGTAGGCACCTAAAAGGACTAATACACGCTTCTGACTAGTGCTTGAAAAGAATATCTGAGATGAACTACTAATATATCTTGCTGAGAGAACAACATTGAAATCAACCACTAGCAAATTATAGATTTTTCAACTAATGGAAAACACAGTGAAAACTGTTCGAAAAAAAACACGTCCATTACGGGATTCGGTACATATATGATCAACGTAAGAATGTATAAAGAGAAAAATAAAAACATTAAACAAAAAAAATTCAAGTTTTGTAATTTTTCAGCACCCTGCAGGGTTCTAAAAATCTCCGTATGCCGTAGATCCTACACGTTGAGAACAATTTTTTTTTAAATCCCGATTTAAACAAAAATTCTACGCCCGCTGCCAATCGCATCCTCATCCACTGCGCGGCAGGGGCCCGGTCAAACGACGGCCAGAAGACGACGACGACGAAGAAGACGACTATAAGAAAAAGTGCCTCTCGTGCCGCCTGCGAGCGGCTGGTCAATAAGTCTGCCGGCGGCTGCAGCAGCGGCAGCGGCGGCGCGGGGTTGCTGCCTCGTAATTACACCCACCACGCACTCGGTCCACACACACATACACACACACGCAGGCGGCGCGCACGCACGGTGGCGCGTGCAAACCCCACGCGCATGCGCTGTCCGCCGCCGCCGCCCCCAGGGCCACCGCCGCCGCCGCCGCCGCCGCCGCCCCGCGTGCAATTCGGTCGGCGCGGGCGCGGGCGCGGGCGCGCGTTGCCTTTCTATCCCCGCGCGCCCGCGGGCGAAGGCGCCCCGGGCGGCATACTCGCCGGGCCGGGCCGCCGCCCCTCGCTCAACCCTCGCCGCGCCCCCTCGCTGGCGTTCGCGCGCGGCGCCCACTCGCCGCGGACGGCGGCAGAGCCCGTGCGTTGGATGGCGGAGCCGTTCCAGAGCTTCTCAATCTTTGACGAGACTCTCTCTCACACGTGTCTCAACTCACACTTTGCACTCAATGAGCCATTTCTCTAAATCGCGACTTTTATATATTGTTTTACGTATGTTTAAGGCATGTTTGTAATGTATTAAAACACGCGTAGGCTTCTAAAGGACAAGACCTTCTAAAGTGTGTGAAGGCTGATGAGGTTTTGTGCGCGTAATTAAATGAAATTTTTTAAGTCATTTTCATCAACATAATGGATTTTATTCAGAGAGCCGGCGTTCGACAGCTTTGCCGTCATTATGAGTCTCGCTATGTGGGAAAAGTCGGGAGACAGTCTTTGGAATGTCTGCTAACTTTTGCTACAGATAGCAAGACTGATGATGGCAAAGCCGTAGAAAGGCGGCTCTCTGAATAAATTCCTTAAATTGACAAAGATTACTTCAATTATTTCATCAAGAAATGTAGTGATTTAGTGTTGTGAAAGTGTGCCGTTTAAAGCTTTTCAATAATCATATGAATGAAGAATATTTTAATCATAAGAATATTTTTTTATGAACTGAATCATCAAATTATCAATATCAACAATAATAATTTGTTAAAGACAAGCTGTTAGATGAAAGTGTGTCCCGATACAATAATCCAAAAGTTATTGAAGAAATTATTTTCATTTACGTCGTAAATAATTACAAAAACGAGTCAGAATATTAAAATTATTTTGTGACCGTGAGTCGGATACAAGAGTACAATCAGAAAATTTTAATTAAAAAAAGTATTTGCTAAGAATGTTTCCCCATCATTTTCCCCTTACCGAGCGGACATATCGCCGACGGGGCAGTAGTAGAGGCAGGCGGCCTAGGGCCCGTGTGGTCCCGCGCGGATCTTGTGTCCTCGGGAGCGGTGCGGCCGGCCGTTGCCTTTCTATTCCGGGGCGCCGGCGGGCGATTCGCCCCGGCGAGCTGATCTACCCCCTGCGCCTCCCCCCCCCTCCCGACCACACCCCTTCGCCGTCCTCGATGACGGACTCCATTCGCTGTTCACACTCGTCTCGCCGCTCCACTCGTTCGACCCGAATCGATACCGCGCGAGGTGAAGGGAGTTGGAATTGTACTTCGAACTCGCTAAGGGAATTAAAAAGAATAATTTCGCGGTCGACGGGTGAAAGTGAACGTTCTGTCCGACGTTTCTATAATTTCTAGACATCACATACGATTTCTCCTTAAAATCAAAGATGCTTAAAATCCCGTAATAATTTCATCGCAATGTAGAATGTATTTGGCGTGGGTGAGGGGTACAATCTAAAACGATTGACCTCCGGTCTCCAGTCAACGAGGCCCTTAGGCGGTGGGGATAGATGACAAATTCACCCAGTGTTGCCAAATCTCATGTTTCATGATCGAAAGCGTCTTCAGGCGCGTAGTTTCGCCCGCCATCCCATTCGCACAATCCGCTGTTCGCTTTCCTTGAGCGACGGTACGATCCTGTCCGCTACGAGACGTGTAGAGGTCCAAATCCGGAACAAAGTTACACGCACATTAACTTCCATTTAAACAGAGTGGCGTTTCAATGTTACGAGCTGGAGGGAGCGGGGGACGTTGCCATCCAATCGGCAGCTCCAACACAAACAATTTAAGACGTAACGAAGATCCAGACAGTCCCCTTCACCGTTCAGTTCTTGATCTTGACGTGCCAATCTGTTTACGTCAGCGCACACATCCAGGATAAGGGTAGCCACGAACAAGTGTCCCGGAGAAAATTAGAAGCAGACGGATGTCGCTTGTGTCGGTTTCGCCCGCCGGTTGGTACTCACAGACGCTCGTGTTAGCCCGGGCGGGTAAAAAGAAGTCACTAAAAAAGCTCACCCATCTCGAGTATGAATGAGCCTCTCACCGCACATCAACAATTATTTGACTAAAATGGCTGCTTCATTCGAATGTAAAAATACGATAAAGTGAAACATTTTAAATACGGAAGACTATGGTCCATATCAAAAAATAATTCCAACAGAAATGCTCATTTAAAATAATGATTTTAAACTTCCATTTTAAATTAGAATTCAATTTGACAATTCTCTTTCTATTAGGACGCCTTCCCGTCATGTACTTCGTAAGTGCGCTTTTTGGGCGCTCTACCGGGAGACGCACAATATTACAACCTTCCCCTCGCACCAAGATAGCCCTGTCAGGCCGGGGGAGGGGGGGGGGCGAGAGAGGTCGTCGGCGCATCGAGGGGTCGCGGGGTGCAACCGCAGCGTCTTTTTATTTTTAATCCGGCACGGCGCAGCGTGTTGGTACCGGTTGCAGCGACGAAGTGGTTGCATCCATCTCCAGCGATGAGGCGGTGCGATTTCGAGGGCACGCCGTTGCACCGGCACCGGTCGCGACACGCCGAATTGATGAAGCAAGAAGCCAACTCATGGGACGGGAACTGGAGACGGGGTACAGGAAAGAAAAATGAGAGCTAAAAGTTTACTTACTCGAAACTAATTTTTCCGGTATAATTTGTTTTAAAAACGTATTTTCCTTTGCACCTTTCAAGATACAAACGTGGTGACGTACACGATAAAATTCCAAAACTTTTCTTCTTCATGGTTAGTCTTTCTAGTTTCTGCCAAGCTAAATGTTTAAAACATTACAAACTTCAACATGCAATTTTGTTAACACATTTTCTGCACTTTACAGCTTCAATAGTTAGAACCCTGTTTCTTGTAAGTTGTATTGAAGTAACCATACCGTGATGAAAACAACAGTTTTCAGGTACATATGAAAATTCACGGGTATTCTGAAATCAGAGTAAGCTATTTTATGGATCTCGCATCAGCTTTAAGTTACTAAATCGATCATTGAGCGAAGGATCTATTATTTTTAGAGGTAACCAAATACGTGAACAAGCCAACGTTTATGTTCTTCTTTCCGCAAGATTTCAACATCTTAGAAGTACAAAACTGAATCGTGAGATAGAAAGATTTAAGATATTCAGTTTGTAAGCATTGAGAGAATTTTGCCAATTATAAAATAGCTTGGCACACACTTCCACTTTGTGAACGAGAATTCTGAACAAGATTCCAAGTGAAATGGCCAGGTGACCCAATACTGGCCGCAAAAAATGAATATTTCTACTTTAAAGTTTTGCTGACAGAACCCCTACAATTAATAGCCTGCAGCGGCCGTTAAACAAGTGTTCTAAGTGGAACAAACGAACCCACCTCATACTAATTTAGACATTGATTGTTCTTGCATTGAGCGCCGGGGCGAGGTTGACCTGCGGGCTGCGGCGACTCTACGCCCGTCGAGATACGGGCGACCGGGGTGCCGAGCTGGGCGAGGGCGGGGCGAAGAGGGGACGGGTGGGGGCGGGGCGGGCCGGGCGCGGCGCACGGTCGGGGGCGTCGTTTTGTGAGTAATGGAGCGTTTACACTCTACGACCGCCCGCAGTCATTTATTTGGGAATAGCAAACGGAACGGTGGCCCCTGCGATGAACAATTACACTGCGATCGCCGGTGCACGGGCTCTTAGGAGGTGAATAACGCCCCCCACCTGTTGATTGGACGGATGCCCACGGTTAGGGTAATCTCCGGGTCCCTACACTTACGCCAGGGGTCCACAAACTTCGGGAACTGCCTGCTTCAGAGCTTTTGAATAAAAAAAAATGAGCTGATTTGACCATGTGTTTCATTTTCTTATGTTCTGTCCACCGCTCCAACCATAAGCCACGAAAATCTCCGAATCTATCCCCGTTGTGCTCCCTTTTTTATTCATCTACAGACAAAAACAATCGAAAACTATGCAGTATACTACGGAGAGAAGTGAAATGTGGGCACGATTTCTTGAGCTCCACTGGAAATGAAAATCTCATGACAATTCCACATTTATTAGCAAACTACAGATTGCACGAAACTTTTTTCGTTTTCGGGGATAACAAATGGAAGATGCACCATGGTTACGTAAGTTCAACAAATCCATCAATTGCTTCCCAAATGTATAGAAATGGTAGAGTTCCGCCCGAATCAATTTTATATCCCTCTCCTACGTATTTCTTTACAGATTTCATGTGCATTTTGAAGCATGTATCTCACACACGTTGTTTAATTTTCATCATAGTTTACCAATATTGCTCGTGAGCACCACGTGCGACCTTTCAGCTGGGCTTTGGAGCCCCCTCGTCTCGCAGAATAGTGCGCCTTGCCAGACGTTTTCCACCCCATGACGGGCTAAATGCATTGCGCACGAGCGCTCGATGCGGCTTCTGTCGGCACTTCTTCATCCACACTCCGCTGCACATCTCTCCGCTAAACGTGGTTGCGTGGAAGAAAACTGCAGATTCCCAGTTGCGTCCGTTCGCCGGCGTCATGCGAGCACCGCGCTCCAGAGAGCTTGAAGAGTAGGTATGATAATGACTCGCTGTTAAAACGATAGATAAGTAAATTGGTGATTGGAGTACGGCAGCCGAATCGGACAATGTTTAAGTTTAAATATCTATAAACAAATGGGTTTAAATCATTGACAATTTCAAGGAAAATACTTCCTACAATTTCTTACAAATCTGTATCCGAAGAAGTGTATATCAAACCTGGTGATGCTATCAAAGGAAAACAAGAACGAGTTTGGAAGTGATCTTTACTTTTGTTCAATTTTGAACTAACATTGCATTCTTCAGTTTTTTATTGGATGTTATTTGCCTATTCACGTTAAATCACGGGTAAACGTTTTAGATTTTTTATAAACGCCAAGAAGGAACTATGGTGCAAAATGTTAAAAGTAGTGCTATTACAATTGCACATGCTTTCTTGCGATGTTTGTTTTTTCTTTCGGAAAATTCAATTCAAAGGAAAACGAGGTCGCTGCAACTTTTTAGCGTCCTTTGCGCTAAACGAGGAAAATCTTCATAAAAAAAAATTTGCAGCAATTTTGAAGAAAAAAATTAAAATGTCTGTTTCATGAAAAGAATCCCCAAAATTCAAAATATCTATTTCAAACTCGCAGGGTC